GTGCACCAAAATATGGTAATTATGGTTGTAAATGGCGAACGCCAAGAATGGTGACCGACGCCAGAAAGACGACGCCGAGGCTCGTCGGGCACCACTGACGCTGCTGCATTGTGCTCGAGGAGACTCCATCAGCATTCTCTACGCACACGCCATCATGAGGTGTCGCTCGGTCGCCATGCAGCGTTCCTCGTCGGTCTCCCTCATTTTTGTCAACACAAGGCCAAAGCATTCCAGCCAATCAGAGCGACAAGACGTTAGATTTGTGGCCAATCAGAGCGGCAGCGATGTCACTTGGCCAGTGTTCCTGCCGACGTTCTCGAGCCGATCATCGCCGCCAGCCAAGGCACGTGGTACGTGGCAAGCCGTGTGCAGGCCTCAGGCCGAGGCGCTCACGCGACGTCGCTGTAGGTATGGCGCAGCCTATCTGTGCGTGACGAGCCACTGAGTCGGCCCTTGGGCGGAGCCCTGGCCAATTTTTCGACGGCCTCTCTCGCACGTCGGCCACGGGATCGCCTCCGAGACGCGCTCCTCCAAGCTCCCAAGACCTGCGACGACGCTGCGAGCGATGGCGCGATATGCCCAGCATCATGACCGCCGCGGTGTCATGCGCTTGCGCGTCCAGAACGGTTATGGCTATGGCCACACCCGATCCGACAGCGCGTCCACGCTCGGTCGCTACCGCCACACTCTACGGCACATCCCGTCAACGCTCGAATCGTGTCTCGACGTCGAGCCTGCGTCCGGCTGCTCGCGCCAGCCGTCGTGCGCTGCACTCGTTTTCATCACCATATCGTCCTTCGTGGCCGACAGCTCGCGGCCAACGTCGACACGCTCTAGTGACGGCGGCCAGACACATGCCATCCTACCTGATACAGTATTTTTGTGCTACAATGCGTATTCGCCGACTGCTGCTGCACGAACAATATATGACACTGGATAGTGGCCAAGGATGGTATTCACAACGAATTCGTACAGACTACAAAATACGGTCGCCACGGTGGCGACGCTAGTACTACCATGCAGCACGATAGACAAGCGATGCGCTCGACTTAGGGCAAGGGGATCAACTGGCCGTCCTTGATGATCTTGGCGACGTTGACGCGGCCAAAACCGTAGCGGTTGTTGGGCCACGACGCGTCGCTGACGCCGCCGCAGTTGGGCGCGCCCTTGAGCTCGACAACCTTGCCATTCTCGCGCTTGAGCCACTTGGCGGGCTCGGGCTCGAGCGCCCGGTCGGCCGTCTTGGTCAAGTAGGCGTAGACGTCGTCGTACGTCAAGGCCTTGTTGGCCGACTTGAGGAGCGCGACGACACCAGCGACGTGCGGCGCGGCCATCGACGTGCCCGCCAAGCTCGCGGTCGCCGTATCGCCCGTGTGGGTCGCCGAGAGCGTGTAAAAGCCGGGGGCCGAGATGGCCGGCTTGACAAGCTTTTGCTGGACGCCGTTCTTGTCTCGGTACGTGGCAGGCCCCTTGGACGAGAAGAACGCGAGCTTGTTGGGCTCGTTGTCGTACGAGCCAATGGCGCCGACCGAAATCACATTCTTGTAGCCGCCGGGGTACCCCACCGTAGCGCAGGCCGGGCCCGAGTTGCCGTTGGCAAACACGGGAATGATGCCAGCCTTGCGGATGTTGGCAATGGCTTCTTCAAAGATTGGGTCGTACGCCGACCCGCCCCACGAGTTGTTGATGACGTCGGCACCCTTGGAGCAGTCGGGCTGCGTCCCATCCGCGAGCGTCGGGCACACCATGAACTGGAGGCACTTGAGGAGCGCATCGTTCGTGCCGCTACCTTGGTACAAGCCGCGGCATGCAATCCACTGCGCGCCGGGGGCGACACCGAAGCCGTCCTTGCCGACCATCGTGCCGATCGTATGCGTGCCGTGGCCGTTGAGATCTTGGGGCAACTTGGTCTTCTGATACGGGTCAAACCACCCACGGTCGGCGCGCCACGAGTCCTTGATGAGTTGGTGCGTATGACGGGCGCCGGTATCCACCGATCCGATGACGACGCCCTTGCCGTTGAAGCGGCTCCACACGCTGGGGGCGCCGACGGTCTGGACACCCCACTGGACGGTAGCGTTGGCCGCGATGGCCGCTTCCGCGCGCGTCTGCTTGAGCACGGGCTCGAGCTTGTAGACAGGCACGGGCTCAATAGCCTTGACCCCGCCGTTCGTTGCGAGCTTGTCAACCACGTCCTGGTTCGCCGCCTTAACGATCGTGCCCGAGACGATCCAGAACGTTTCCGTCTCAAAGCCGTCGGTGACGCCATCCAGCGCCTTCTTGGCGTCTTCCGAGCGCGCCGTGAGGTAGTCGTACACGTCCTGGCGCGAGGCACCGTCGATGAGCTCGTCCTCAAACGGGTTGTCGGCAAAGCGCACAAAGACGTCCGTGGCGCCATCAACTTCCAAGGCACGCAAGACGGAGCTAGCGACCTTGGCGTGCGCTGCCGTCGCGATCGCAGCGAGAATGAGAGCAGCCTTCATGATGCGTATTGGTGTGGGGTGGAGAAAGCAAAAGCTAAAGTGAGCATCGAGTGTACTCTCGCTTCGTCGAGATCGCAGCGGTCGAGGTATCTGTGTCGAAATCAGAGAACATGCCGGCGGAATCAACAGGATCGTTCTTGTTGAAGTGAGCTCATTTGGGTACAATTAACACAGAACTGGTTTGGTGGTGAGCTTTCGACGCCACGCGTGTTGCGACTTACGGCAGCTAGGAGGCTTTCCCGTTGCGAAAGCGAGGCGAGTGGATATAGCAGGCTGGAATGAAGTGGTCGCGAAGCCAGAAGTCATGGCGCAGGGCGTTCATCAACAGGATCGTCCAACACGACCCGTTAGCACTGGATACACCCAGCAACTCAGATCCATGTATCAGATAAAAACTCCGAGGCTCAGATGTATACTAGAAAACTGTATTGGAAGTATCTGAGTTCCTCCCGTCCACTGCATACAAATCTGTGTACGAGCTGGCACTAAACGAGACCCATATCTATGACTGGAAGCCGTCTCAGATCGCGACCGTCAACGTCGCACACCGGCGCATACAGTCTGCCACGCCCCAAGCTTGGCTGGAGCCGCGAGCACGCTAGCGAGATGCTGCTCAATCGCGTGCAGTAGTCAGCAAGGGTGTATGCCAGATCCGGAAATCAAGCATGCTTTCCTCAATCTCTCGTCGTCCATGGGATCCTGGCGGGTACCTATAGAAACCGGTGTGCTCTGCGTAAGGTCACAGCTGCAACGACGATGGCTGGCCGTACAGTTTGTGGGGCACTGCACCATCCGATTTTGCAGTTCAAGACATCCGGTATGCGAACATTGGGAAAACATGCTTTATGCTGCCTCGCATCGACCAATATTCACACTGGCGCCAATTTCCTTTACCTGAGTACGACTACGACGCGTGGATTACACGTTCTTTCCAGCGTCATCACTGCCAGTCACCACATCCATACCGGCAACGATCTGAGTCGTCTCAGCTTTTGATGATCGCGTCCGTCATCCGGTCGACCCGCTTCCGTACCTTGATAATCTGGCCAATTTTGTGCCGACCGGACGCCAACGCGCCAGGTACAAGTGCTAATAGCGCTTCGCGTTCGGAACCAATCAGAGTCTTGTTGCGGTGGCAACCAACTTGAAGATAACGTAAAATCACGTCGTTTGTCAACACAGATCTACTCGGGTGCACCGTCCAGCATGGTCGTCACGACCGTGGGTCTGTCTTCGCAGAGACTTGGACGCCAGCTCACGCCTATAAGATCGATAGCTGGGGGATCAAGCATGTACTCGCGCTCTCTGGCGTTTGGGGGCCACCGTCTTGTCTCAAGGTCGTGTCGGGAATCAAATGCGCATGCCAGCAAATGCAAGCCATTAGAGATCGCATCATAGCAATAACGATTCTAAATGGTTTCACGGCCTAGTAGAAGAGTCGAACCTCGAACGCGAAGAAATCCTCGTATTGACATTATGCATGGACAATGTGGACGCAAAAGCATACTAGTATATTTTTGTGTTTAAAAAGCGATGGCATCGATCCACTGGTTGGTGTTGGCGTCATGACACTCCCACACCTGCGCCGCGTGCGTCGGGTTGGTCGGGTCCACGTCCAAGCACACGTTGTTGTGCGTCGCGTGCTTGATCTTATGACCAGCCGCGTCGATGATCCACTTCTGGTTGGCGTTGGTTGCGTCGCACGCGTAAGTGTGCAAGCCGAACTTGTCGCCGTCGCGGAAGGCGTCGAGGCACTCGCCGTTGCTAGCCGCCTGGAGCGTCTTGATGCGGGTGTCGTAGGTGAAGAGCTCGTTGGTCGTGTCCGAGGCCCAGTTGGCGTAGACGCCCGAGTAGAACTCGGAGATAGCCTTCTTGTTCTTGGTGATGAGCTTGACGTAGCTTCTGGCCGCCGGCGCTTCCTCACACTTGGTGAACCACTGGCTGACACCGCCCGTGCACTCAGCGACGAACGGGGCAGCACCGGGTGTGGCACGGGCCGATTCGAGACAGAGGTTGCGCACGGTCAGGTGGCGAATGCTGTGCGAGTTGGGTTCAAAGCCCCACTTCTGGGCCGAGCCGCCCGTGCACGGATGCAAGCGCACCTGGTTCTTGCCCTGGACGTCCTGGTAGACATCGAGACACGTCTCGTTGTTGCTCTGCGACTGGATCGACTTGTCGTCAAAGTTGTACCAGAACTTTTCGTTCAAGTTCTTCTTCTCCGTGTCGACGAAGAGCTGGCCGTTCCACTCGGAGAGGACGTTGTGCTTGTAGTTGCAGAGCGAGATAGTGTCGGCGGCCTGCACGGGCGCGGACGTCGGAGCCGGCGGCGGCACCGGGAGCTTGCCGTCCTTGAGGATTTTGGCGACATTGACGCGACCGTAGCCATACCGATTGTTGGGCCACGACGCGTCCGAGACACCGCCGCAGTTGGGCGCCGCCGGGAGCGTCTTGTTCTTCGGGAGGCGCCACACGGACGGCTCGACCTCCATCATGGACTGGTCCGTCGTCGTCGTAAGAGCGTGGTAAATTTCGTCGTACGTCAAGTCCTTCTGCACCGACTTCATCAAGGCGACGACGCCAGCGACATGCGGCGCCGCCATCGACGTGCCAGCCGAGAACTGGTAGTCCGTGTCCGACCCCATGTACGACGAGTATGTGAAGAAGCCGGGCGCCGAGATATCGGGCTTGATGATCGGGTGCGACTGGCCCATGTTGTCGACATACTTGGCCGGGCCCTTGGACGAAAAGTACGCGAGCTTCGTGGGCTCGTTCGAGTGCGAGCCAATCGCGCCGACAGCAATAAGGTTCGGGTAGTTGGCGGGGTTGCCGGCCGTCGCGCAGGCAGGGCCGTCGTTGCCGTTGGCAAAGATGGGTGTAATACCCGCCTTGTGCCAGGCGTCGATCATGTCTTGGAACCACGGATCCGTCGTCGTCGCACCGCCCCACGAGTTGTTGATGACGTTGGCGCCCTTCTTGCAGTCGGGCTTGTTGCCGTCCGTCTCGGTGGGGCAGATCATAAACTGCGCGCATTCGAGCAGCGCCGCGTTCGTGCCAACGCGGTTGTAGAGACCACGGCACGCAATCCACTGCGCATCCGGCGCGACGCCGAGGCCGTAGTCGCCGACCATGGTACCGATCGTGTGGGTGCCGTGGCCGTTCAAATCTTCAGGCACCGCCGACGTGTTGTACGGGTCAAACCACCCGCGGTCGGCGCGCCACTTGGACTTGATGGCTTCGTGTGTGTGGCGCGCGCCCGTGTCAATCGAGCCGACGACGACACCGGCGCCCCGCGTGTGCTTCCAAATGTCCGGTGCACCGATCGTCGTGACACCCCACTGGATGCCGGTCGGGCGGGCGTTGACATTGGCCGAGTCGTCGGCCTTGGTCACGACGGGCGAGAGCGAGATCTCCTTGACGGCATCGACCTTGATCACACCCTCAATGGCAGCGATCTTGGCCGCAAGCGCCTTGTCGACGTTGTCGATGATGGTGACTTCCGAGATCCAGAGCGACCGAATCTTGTGGCCCGTGCCGAGGACTTGCTCGAGGAGCGCCTGGCGCTTGGCTGCGACGGCCGAAGAAGATTGGTACACGCTTTCGCGACGCTCTTCGGCGGTTGCGCCCGCGAGCTCGAGGCTCTCGAGCTTGGACGCGTCCTTGGCAAACGTCACAAATGCCTGGAACGTGTTGTCAGCTTCAAGCTGGCGCAGCGCCGAACTCGTGATCTTGGCGGCCGTCGACGCGACAAGGGCGGAGACGATGACAGCCAACTTCATCGGTCTGGTTTGTACAAGTGAAATTGTAAAATGAACCACACCTACTGCAATGGCAAGGTCAAAAACGAGTGCACGCTGGATCTTGGAATAACTTCGATGCAACTTCGAGCGCTCCCACCCGCTCATTGAGTAGCCGCGCGCATCTGAGAACACGTATCGCATGGAGCCTAGGTGACACGGGTGGGTCCTGAGGTGGGACGCTTGATTTGTCCGTGTGGCACGGTCCATCGACACATGTGGACATGGCAGTAATAACGATCTTTCTTGCGGCCAACATCTCTGCTGTTTGAATCACGCAAGATTCAGACGACTTGATGCGCACATTATGACGCGAGTTCTGCAGCAAGCTAGCATCAGCACAAGGTGACATTATCGACAGCCCTATATTCCATTATCGCAAACCCGCAATGGACCGCATGTGCGTTCCAGTTCGTATTTTTATCGATGGGTGCATGCTTTGTTCAAGCTTGGATGAATTTATTGTCCCTCCGACTCGGCCACCTCGCTGAGGCATGGGAACAGACGAGAACAAAGCCGTTGTCCAGCGCAAGGTTGGGACGCGCCATGAAGCCATGTTTTTGGAAGCACAAAGAACGTCGTCGACGATGCAGTGATTTCGCTAGCAGAGACGCATCACACCACCAGTATCAAAGTATTATCAGCCCAAACCAAGTGTACGATCTGAGAATATTCATGAGAACCGGGCATTACGTTCGGGTACAATAAACGTCTGTGAGTCGTCTAAACACACTCATCGCCCACGTTGCGCAAACGACGAAACGTTTTCTGTGCTCGTCGCCCTGCACATGCAGTATGTATACTCTAGTTGGTACAAACAGTATTGACCAGAAAAAGTCTATGAACGTAACTTGCTGGTTACGCCATTATTGCATCCTTGATTAACGGCACCCGTGTAGAGCTATGCATGCTGTGACCATAGATCTTATCCAACCCAGACACAATAAGAATAAATTTTGTCGCGATTGTGCCGCTGTTGATGCGGCGAACAATCGTCCTTCAACCTGGTACTCCCTGTTGAGGTGCAAGGAGCACGCCCATGGAGCACGCCTGTGCCAGGTACAGTGTCTAGGTGTGTGCTTCAACTTCATCTATTTGCACCTGGTCTCGCGGTAGGTCGCGAGCATGGTTGCGTGGTCGTGCATCACGCCGGCTCGCCGCTTGGAATGATTGACAGATGTTTCTTGGTCTGATAATGCATGGCATCTGTTATTTACTTCGAGCTTCGATGGCTTGTCAGCTCAACCGCTCGCTCGCCTTCTTCTTCATTCGACAAGTTGCCTTGTACTTACCACATGAAGGCTGCTCTTATTATCGCTGCGATCGCCACGGCGGCTCACGCCAAGGTCGCTAGCTCCGTCTTGCGGGCCTTGGAGGTCGACGGTGCCACGGATGTATTTGTGCGCTTTGCCGACAGCCCCCTCGAGAGCGGCATGATCACCGAGGGCGCGACGCGTCAGGACGTTTTTGAGATCCTCAGCGAGCGTACGGAAGAAGCCACCAAGTCCATCGACGACGTCACCAAGGGCTTTGAGACCAAGTCGCTCTGGATCGTGCCCGGTACGTTCATCAAGGCGGCCGACCAAGCCACTGTCGACAAGCTCGCGCAGCACCGCGGCATCAAGACGATCGAGCACCTACCCGAAATTTCGCTCGACCCCGTGCTCACGCAAACGACTGCCGACGCCACCGCCGCGGCCAACGCAACCATTCAGTGGGGCGTGCAGACCGTCGGTGCGCCGGAAGTGTGGAAGCACTTTGACGGCAAGGGCGTTGTCATTGGCTCCATCGACACGGGCGCCCGCCACACGCACGAGCTCATTAAGGACTCGTGGCGCGCCGACCGTGGCTGGTACGACCCCTACGACCACTCGGCGCTTCCGGAGGACTTTGACGGTCACGGCACGCACACCATCGGCACGATGACGGGCAAGAACGGGTTTGGCGTCGCCCCCGGCGCGCAGTGGATCTCGTGCCGCGGCCTTTACAAGGGCACGGGCTCGTCGCAGGCGCTCCTCGAGTGCCTTCAGTTTATGATTTGCCCGACGCGCACGGACGGCACGCACCCCGACTGCTCCAAGGGCGCGCATGTCATCAACAACTCTTGGGGCGGCAAGAAGTACCACCCGATCTACGAAGAAGCGGTCGCTGCCCTTCACAAGGCCGGTATCATTCCGATCTTCGCGAACGGCAACAGCGGCCCCGCCTGCGCGACGACCGGCAACCCCAGCGCGTACCCCAACGTCATCTCGGTCGGTGCGATTGGCTCGTACGACAACGAACCCACCAAGCTCGCGTACTTTTCGTCCAAGGGCCCCGCCACGTACATCGACGCGCACAACGTCAAGCAGACGATCGTCAAGCCGACGATCTCGGCCCCCGGCTTCTTTACGCTTTCGGCTTCCAACTCGAGTGATAGCGTCACGGTTGGCTTGGCCGGTACGTCGATGGCGGCGCCGCACGTCGCTGGTGTCGTCGCCTTGATGAAGTCGGCCAACAAGGACTTGTCCTACAACGACATTTACGCGTACCTGACGCAGACCGCCGACCAGGAGATGCTTGAAGCCGAGCCCGCCAAGTGGTACAAGCGCGATGTCAACAAGACCGTTCTGGATGGCGCGCCCAACTGCGGTGGCGTCTCGGACACGGCGTGGCCCAACAACCGGTACGGTTACGGCCGTGTCAACGTGGCCAAGATCCTCAAGGACGGCAAGTTGGCGCCCGTGACGACGCCCGCGCCGACGTCGCACACACCGGTCGCGATGCCGGACCCCGTCGACGCCAAGTTTTGCACGTACAAGAAGACGGTGCTCTCCGAGTGGAACAACCAGCTCTTCATCGACACGATCAAGAACAACAAAACGAAGGCTTTAGCATCAACCTCGTCGACAACTTGATCACGTCCGTGTCGGCCGAGGACTTTTGCCTCTCGCTGATCAAGGATTCGAGCAACACCAACGCCGTCGCGCTCCGCGAGTGCAAGGGCGACGCGACGCAGATCTGGAAATTTGACACCGTCGCCAAGCGCATCGTCCACCCGCAGTCGGGCTTTTGCTTGACGTCGAACGCCGCCAAGCTCGGCGCCGGCCCCAGCGTCGCCCCGTGCTCGTCCGGTGCCGTGAGCCAGTACTTTGACCAGTGCGACAACGTCAAGGAGAAGAGCTACGTCAAGCTCATCACCAAGACCAACAAGGTCATCTCCGAGTTTTACTCGGGCGTCTACGCCGACTGGGTCTCGGACTCGGTCAACGAGCTCTTTGTGTACGACAACAGCGCCAAGACGCTCCAGGTCGCCAGTAACGGCGAGTGCCTCGACGCGTTCCGGGACGGCGAGAATTTCGGCTTGCACACGTACGCCTGCGACGCCACCAACGGCAACCAAAAGTGGATCATCGATGCCGGCAACCACAAGATCAAGCACGCGACGCACAGCAACTTGTGCTTGGACGTGGACCCGACCAACCCGACGCACGCGGCGCAGGTGTGGGAGTGTCATAATGCCAACTCCAACCAGTGGATCGACGCGGTGGTCTATTAGATTTGTCCCACTTAATGCAAACACTTGATTTCAAAGCGTAATCAGCTTAATTTTATGGATTGTCTTCTGTGAACGAATACCGCTGTCAATTTCGAACCTGATTGGCATATGCGTTCACGTCGTGACGTGTGTACAGCATGCATCACCATGGTCATATTGGGGAGAGTGTTGTACAAGGGTATATAAATATTGAATTTCTCTACCCTTGGTGTTGTCTGCGGTGGCGGCTTTGTTCCTCGGCGCCTCCATCTCATGATAGAACGATAGGTGCACTCAACTGTCATTCCCATTCCAATACAGTGCCAGCAAAATGCCATAAAGTGCATCAAAGTGGCCCTCAAACTTTGACGTGGCGTGCGCATTTCTCTTTTGTATAGAGCCTGTGTGCATATCGCATCGATCCTTGGATTCAGTGGCACGGGATGCGTCTCGAGCAGACTCGGATTCGTCATCGCAGCAGGTCAATGGGGCGTGACATGGTATGTAGCACTTTACATGGCTCAAATATATTTGGATAGTCTTTATGTATTTTGGACGTGTGTCGTGGTAATATCTCTCGCACGCCGCCGTCGCATATAGTTACCGGTACCCGAAACGCTGTCCGCAGCCTGAGGACCGCGTTTCGGGTACCACGGCACAGCGTGGAGTGTTGTTGGTGCACCTTGTCGATAGACATGGAGCCCACCCGCCCAAAGCTTTGCCGTCACGCTCCTCGTACTACGTCTGCAAGGTCTCGGTGAGTATGACGTTTGGCGCGGACAGCTGTGTCGAAACCGTTGCGTGCATGATCACGCAAGGCTCGATCCCAGCACGCGTCGCTGCAAGGTGACATGTCAGTCGTTTGACAGATCAGATGGTATTCCAAGGACACACTTGTCGCCTGTCCGCATCTTTGCGTTGTGGCCGTGTTTAGTTTTCAGACGCGAAGAGCTAATGCGCTGGTATCTCTGGTTGTGCTGGACGCTGCGTTCTACTACGTAATACTCTATTTCAAGTCGGCTAGAACGCGTCTTTCGAGGATGAATACTAGATAGATGTACATATAGCTGGCCCACTCGAAAGACACGCCCGATGAGCACGAGTGCATCGCCAGGAACAAAGCTGTCGTCCGAAGAAGACACCGCAATGCAGCAATTCACTGCAACCAATATGCGCCATTCGCATCTACTAGTGTCTCTATTACACGTTTTTCTCCTCTATCTTGTCAACTTGTCCTTGATCTCGCGAAAGGATCTAGGTACAGTCGCATCGGGTATGACGCCGGAGCCGCCGCATGGAATAAGCTTGATCGCTTGTCTCATAGTGTAATGTGCTTCATCTTGCTGACCGCTCGCTCACCTTCTTCTTCATTCGACAAGTTGCCTTGTACTTACCACATGAAGGCTGCTCTCATTCTCGCTGCGATCGCCACGGCAGCCCACGCCAAGGTCGCTAGCTCCGTCTTGCGGGCCTTGGAGGTCGACGGTGCCACGGATGTATTTGTGCGCTTTGCCGACAGCCCCCTCGAGAGCGGCATGATCACCGAGGGCGCGACGCGTCAGGACGTTTTTGAGATCCTCAGCGAGCGTACGGAAGACG